GCCACCGGTATTCCTACTACTACTACTACTACTACTACTACTACTACTACTACTACTCCTGCTGCTGCTGCTGCTGCTGCTGCTGCTGCTGCTGCTGCTGCTGCTGCTGCTGCGACTGCTACTGCTGCTGCTACGACGACGGCGACTACTACTCCTCCCTGACAGCGCTGCATTGCAACACTCGTCAATCCAGTACCGTAACCATTTAACCCCCAACTTCCTTCCCTCTTGAAGAAGATGCCCAGGCTTCACAAATGCGGCGCTACGCAAAGCTCGTATCCGCGCCGCCGTGGGTCCACGTGGCAGCCCCTCGTCCCACATCAGAAGCAAAAGTAGTGTGGTCATAGCATTTATTGCATGTAGTAACTATGATCGCACATTATACTATATTATAGTGGAAGACCCGAGGACTCCGAGGCCTTGGAGACTGCCTTGCAGCGCCTGGACTCCTTGGATCCGGAGACCTTAAGTCAGCTGACGGAAATCGTGACGACGGCCCTCATGTTGCTTCCCTTCTTCTGGCAGCCCGCCGTTTCTGTTTGTGCTGCGCTTCCGAAGTTCGAACCCCGACTGGTCAGCAAGCCCGAAGATGCCCGAAGCACTGAGAGCAGAGCTCCAGCAAGCCCCGAACCCTAGGCCTAGGTTTCACAACCTATCAAATCGTAGATACCAGAGTGAGATGCCGAAAGCGCGACTGCCGAGTCTTGAAGGCCAAACCAAAAAAACACGAAAGCCCGAAGAAAAGTGAGGTTCAAGGGTGGCACTGGGGAGCTCTCGCACAAGGCGCCACCAGGAAGCTGATGGGACCTGCCGGAACACCTTATAGGATGGGCTCCAAAAGTACAGCTTCGCTGGAGATGTTTCGAGTGTTACAGATGAACAAAGCGAAGAATGCCATGCCGAGCTTGTGGCCAGTCAAGCCTCGACGAAGGAACAAGTCTCAACCCGAAGCTCTGGCTTTGGCTGGCAACTTTTGGGCATGTTGATGGACAAGATGTCCATGAAGCCTTTGAACATCGTGGGCAGTTTTACAAGCCGTCTTTGGCTCAGCTGGGATCGTGCGAGCACCTCGACTACCCCTTTCGAGAGCAAGCAGTTGCGTTCGACACCAGTCGCCGCAGCGATTGTTCCTTTGCCACAGGGGATTCCATCTACTGCAAGCTGCAGAGGGCAGCTGGACGGACATGCAGCCCGATTGAGAAGGCCAGCAGCGACGATCCAAAGAGCCAGCGGGTTTATTCCTTGCCTCCCTCATCCCCTCTAAGCCTTCGCAGCCACTTCTGAATTCAGCGAACCTTTCTGTGCGAAGCACTGATGCACTCATCAAGTTGCAGCATGTTCGTGCATCTCTTTCTGCAGCTGCGAAGTTTCAATGGTGACGCCCATGACTTGCGGCACGATGAAGCCTTTTGCATATCAGCCACCCTGAAAGGCCCCCGGCACGACATGGGCGTCAAACAAGCCTACTTTGCATCGGATTTCCGATGATTCCTCCCAGATAACATCGCGCCGGCCCATGACACAAGTGCTCGTCAAAGTCACGAAGGCGTGACATGGCAAACCACAGGCCTTCACCCATGAGAATGCCTTCGTGATTAATGCTGGGGAGGCACGCCGAAGCCCAGCGCTCGCGAGGGCGCTGTCGGAGTTGGGCTTCTCAGCTCGAGTCGGGCTTTGAATTGACACTTGTGTCTTAGTGGCATAGCCTGACATACCCTGCCCTAGCCTAGAATGCGGTGGGTGAATTGATTGCAGCTGCGCCCCTGCTGTGATGTGTCGTTTCTCGGTCAACGACCTGCCTGCTTGGAACGTCCTGCGCTTGCAAAGAGCCTGCAATCCATAGCAGATCCAGGAGGAAGAATTCGCAAGCCTGAATGTCTGTGGCCCGAACAGATTTCGTGCTGCCTCCTGGCTCAGGCTTCTCGGTCCTGAAACAACTCCCAGAGCACCACAAGGTGCTTGGGAATCGCAATGAGGTTGAGGAAACTGCGACCAGGGCATCTGGCTACTGGTTGGGCTTGTTTTCAGGATTTTGCACTGAGCCTGCCATATTCTTAGCTAGATCAAAACCCGTCCAGTTTACTGATCCGGCGACTGTCCTGGCAATTGGAGACTCTTCCCCCCATCTCCACATTTCGCACGCTTGACAGCAACTCATGTGGACCTCGCAGCTAAACCGACCTGCTCAGCTTTGAAGAGTCGTGGCATGATGTCCGAATGATCTGTCCAACCTTCCACCAGGCTTGAGGTGAAGCTCTGCTGGTCTGCAGTTCAAATAACTTGGAAGTTAAGCTCCTCTTCCTGACTGACAGCAGTGAGCCTTAGCTCAACCGGAACATCCACACCTTTGCACGGGTTGAAGCAGCTTCCATCTGTGTGCCGAGCATTTTCCAGCTCGCCTCGTTCTGTCAGCTCCTGGTGGCTGCCCCACCCGGCCCGTGGCTGTCGCGAATCCGCGGCTTAGGAGGCGGTCCTCACACGGGAGGGGGTTGCAGGGTGCAGGACGTCAGGTGTTCGGCTTGGTGTTGAGGGAAGTCACACTTACAGAGGTTTCCACTTGGAGGTTTTAGGATAGATTCAGGTCTGCAGCACGGAGTGCACAGCGACAGAGCACTCAAGTTTCCTTTGCATTATCATCGCATAAGGATGATAGGTACTTCCCTATCCAAACCGATGGAAACAACTGGGGCACGGGATGCAAGGTCGCTGCTGGCAGCTCCAACACAGCATTCGTTCCATGAGGTGTGAAACGATGCATTTCCACTTTGCTGATAGGTGTCGAAAGGGTCCACGTGGCTACGCTCGTGGCCGACACCTGGGACGATTTTTGCCGCGAAGTTCAAGAGGTGCCGGAAACACCGAGAAAAGACACAAAGCACATGTAGTTGAACACATTCGATGTTGGTTTTCACTCAGAGCTTCCTCATCCAAGGCAGATAGCTGCGCATGTCCGGTGTTAGGTGCAAAGGTATCATGAAGACTTGATGCTACTGTAGACTTGCGACTCTGACCTGTCCCGATGGTACTTAATTCTGGCCGAGGCTTGCTTCAGTATTCACGACTTGACACACACCATTCGGTGCCATGACCCCTGTGCCGTACCGTTAAGATTGTTCGTGCCCGCACGTTGGTTTCCGGCTGTTTAGAACACGCAGGTTTCGCATGTGCTTGCTGTCGGCATGCTTTCTACGACGCATTCCGTGTAATACGTATGCAACCTCTGTCACTGTACGTACATTATTATTATTAGTAGTAGTAGTAGTAGTAGTAGTATTATTATTAGTATTATTATTATTACTATTATTATTATTATTATATATCTGTATGATATGCATATGAATGTGCATGTACAGATCTACACTCACACACACACACACACGCTCAGATGTATAAGTATTATAAGTACAAGTTCGCAGGTACATGTGTATATATGTATATATACTCCTAGTTATTTACTTAATGTGTTTGCTCATATTGATATGTACGGACGCACTGGTACATCTGCACATGCAATATCAGACAGCAGCACACTGTAGTGTGACGGGAAGGTGGACTGGCTGCGGCAGCTAGAGCTCCGGCGAGCTGCCGGACAGGATGCCTTTCCCTCGGAAAGAGGCCCGAGCAGGGAGTGAGCTTCCAGGTTCCAGGGGTCCGCACAAGTTTTCAGGGCTTCGGGTTTGGGGGCAATTGATGAAGGTCAAAGCCAACACAAGCAACACCGTATCCGTCTACACATCTATCCATCTATCGATTCATCTACATGCCCACCCCAGCCCGCCACCCCCAAGACCTACAGCGAGGACAACGTGATTTCATCCGAACCCCCGAACTTATGCATCACCCTAGCTCGCAGGCTGCCGTAGTCAGAGACTGTCCAGTTCACACTGGTTCCGCAGAGCCCGAAGGGAGGATCTTCTTTAGGGTGTCGGGGAACGCTTTGCTTCTCACAACCACACAAGCCTTGGCCTTGGCCCTCATAGTGTTATTTACACGCCGCGAGCATCTGATGCACCACAAAATCCTCGGCTCTAGGCTTCCTACTCCCCATTGCTAGCACTACATAATTTGCTATCGCGGCCCAGAATCCCCATAACCCTCCGGAAACTTCGGCAAGCTTTCCAAGTCACCAAACTGCTCCACGAAATCCGAGGCACAAGCAGAAAGGTGAGGTATGACGGGTGTGTGTAACTGTCAATTTCAATATATATATATATATATTGTATTTTTTTATTTATTTATTTATTTACTTATATTTATATTTCGAGAATTATGCACGTATGTGTTCCGAATATACACATTTGTAAGCCCCAAGAACTACCGCATACCGCCACCAATCCTATCCAGGCCCCCAGGCTTGAAGGAGGTTCCGAGGGGATAGCATGTATATATGATCCCGGTTC